GCAATTTTCTTCCTGCTTTTAAAGGTCCTATTCAAAAGTTTATTTTAAGCAAATAGACAAATGGTATTTGCCTGGCATGATTCTACCTTGCTTTACAAATATTGGCTCTTCCAATTTTCACAGTGACCCTATAAAGCAATTGCTATCACCTATATATTGCAGATGAAGAAATCGAGCCCCTGAGATGCTCAAGATCATGCAGCTGATAAGTAACAGAGTTTAGATTTGAATCCAGTGTGTCTATGCTTATAATTAGGACACTGTACTCTGCTACTTTTCTCTCCTATAAGAAGCCGTTCTTGATTCTTTCACCCACAAAAAATAGTTCCACCCACTCTAGTCTGAATTGCTATACTGCTTAATCTGGACTCCCATGCTGGCAGTTTCTTTCTACCTTGAGTTATAGCTATTAATATAAATGTTCTAACTAGATTATCTACTAAATTCTCTGAGATAAGGACCACTTTTCATTCATCTTTGTACCTATGGCCTAAAAGAGCACTATTATATAGTGTGTTGGGTAATATTACAAACCCTAGAATCAGACAGACTTGAGTAGAGTGGATATTACTGAGTCACTGTGTGACTTGATCACAGTCCTAAGACACACCTTTCAGTTTCCTTACTTGCAAAATTGAGAAAAAGTCTTTTGTTTATGAAGACTAGATAGATAATGCGTAGAAACATTTTAACATAGTTCTTGATACACAGTGAGCACCCATGAAATATCTATTGTTTCCAATTTTGTTGCACATAAAACCTCAGCAGATTTTTATTGAATTCTGTTTTTGAGATTACATATGGAGCTGGCTTGTAAAAAAAAAAAAGGCACAGAAGATGCCTCCCCTATTTAAAGTCACAGGAGAAGTGCCTTAAAATATAATTGCATTCAAATATTTCTACTTTCAGGTGTGTTGATTAGTCAACATTCAAGCTTTAACTTGTCAAGCACAGCTGTCAACTATTACCCAGTAGTTTATTCTTATGAGAATAAAAATTATGTTCATAAGATTATCAGATAGGAAAGACACAGGGCAAGTTTTGCTTGAAAATTTACCCAGAATACTGCAGCCTTTGCATCTGTAAAAGAAATAATAAATCAAAACTCAAGATTAAGGCTAATTATTTTGTAATTTAGAAAATGAAAACAAATATTCAGCATAATTGTTCAAATTAAATCAGGCGGGACTGAGAGTGAATGGGCTTATGAGCTGTTTGTTGTTCTAAATGGCACCAAGAAAACCAGATGTTTTCTATGAAATAGTAGCTGATAATTATCTTCATCCAGCCCTGAATTACAGACTTTGTACATTGCCCTCTATGGATTCTTATGTGGAAACACTTAATGAAGGCTGTTATGACTCAATAAGGCAAATAGTACTGCGTACTTAAATTTCTTTTCTCGACTATGGAAAGGTAGAGGAACATATGATTTCCCTAATCTCCAAATAACACTCTCCTATTATATTTATTTCTGACTGACTGGGAAAATATTATATGCACTACAAATTGTTGCTATAATGGAATTGCAGACATTCAATGTCTGTGTTTTTTTCTTGAAAGGGCTTCCCAAAAGAAAAGCTTTTGTATTACATTTGGTGGGGAAGAAGGGCATTGCTTTAAGTGAACCTGAATACTATTTAAAATGTCACACAGGTGGTTTCTCCCTAACTATTTCTAATCCTTCACGTTCATTGGAAGATTTTAACAGGAATAAAGATGATACTGATGCGTTTGCAAAGGGTAAAATGCTGAAGGTGTAGTAACACTAGAGATAGGGCAATCATGTCAAAGAGTATGCAGGTATAATCATGCAGGTATAGCTTGATGAAGTCTTGTATTAGGATCAGTTTCTATTATATAAAAATAAACTTTTATCCTTTTAAATTTTTAGTTCAAGTCCAGTAGTAAAGGTTTTTCCTGTTAAATGGACCCACTGTTTAATGAAGCAGTAAGCCATTTAAATCTGAAACTTATAGGAAGAAAGTAGGTGATATACTCAGAGCCACTAGAGTTGAAACATAAACTCATTTGATTTCATGAGTCCTGAAGCCTCTAGGTGATTACTCAGTTCAAATGGGAATCTCTGAGAACCTTAAAGCAATGAACTCTGAGAAAGAAGGAGCTAGCTTGACTGATTGGAAAAGGCAGAAGATAAAGCCCCAGAGCTAGGTAATATGGAAGTGGGATTAACACATCATGTCTGCAGCAGCAGAAATGCCCCTCAGGTGAGGGTCAGATGTTCCAGAAAATGCAAAGGAGCCATTTCCTGAGGGTTTACCCTGTTGAAGAGGAATCAGCCTAAAATTTCAGGCATGATGGTGAAAGAGGATAAAGTGTCAAGGGAAGGAATGAAGGCTGCAGATTTTATCAACAAGGCAGTGGAGTAAAAGGAACTTGAGCTCACCTGCTCTCCTGAACTCACCAAAATCACAACCAGATTCTGAAAAACCATCAATAACAAAAGACTGGAACATACCAAAAAGATATTCCATATCCGAAGTTATAGGGAGCAAACCCAGGGAGACCGGAGGGGGGTGCACTCATGATATACTCCATTCCCACACCACCCAGGCGGCTGACCCACACATTGGAGAACAATTTTATCGCAGAAGTTCTCCCACAGGGGTGAGAGTTCTGAGCCCCAGGTCAGGCTCCCCAGCATGGGGGTCTGACAGTGGGAGCAGGAGCCCCCCACCCCCACCCGCAGAGCATTTGCTTTGAAGGCCAGCGAGCAGGTCCTAAGCGCAGACGCTCCACAGGGCTGAGGGAAGCAGAGACGCCACTCTTGGAGCCCGCACACAGGTCTCAGGGCAAAACGCGGTGACTTCCCAGGAGCCTGGGCCAGACCTACCTGCTGGTCGTGGAGGACCTCCTGGGGAGCAGCAGGTGGCTGTGGCTCCCTGTGGGGATGAGGACATGGTGGTGGACATACTTGGGGAACATTCATCAGCTTGAGCTCTCCTGGAGGTCCCTATTTTGGCAACAAGGCCTCACCTCGCCCTGGAGAGGATACGGTTCTGGGATGCCTCAAGGCAAACAACCAGTTAGGAGAGAACTCGGGACCCATCAGCAGACTGGCTGCTTGAAGACTAAAGAGCTCACAGCTGCCTCTGGACATGCCCCTAGACACGACCCTGCCCATCAGAGTAATGAGACCCAGCTTTAGCCACCAGCGTCTCCCACTGGGAAGCCAGCCCCAGACTCAGACCAGCCTCACCCACCAGGGGGCAGACACCAGAAGTGCGAATCCTACCCTCCCTCCTGAAGCCTGTGGAACCAGTCAGCAAACCAGTGAGAACCGACCCTGGGGCCAGGCCTCCCCGGCGGCTCAGATGGTGAAGCATTTGCCTGCAATGCAGGAGACCCAGGTTCTATCCTTGGGTCAGGAATATCCCTGGAGAAAGAAATGGCACCCCACTCCAGTATTCTTGCCTGGAAAATCCCATGGACAGAGGAGCCTGGTGGGCTACATGGGGTCGCAAGAGTCAGACACAACTTAGTGATTAAACCACCACCACCACGCCGGGTCTGGCTGGACCCTACCCCTTCATGACGAGAGGGGAGTGTCCTACTGGGACGCGCAGGACATTTCCCTACAGAGGGCCACTTCTCCAAGGTCAAGCAACATAACTAACCCTCCCCATACATAAAAATACAAACAGAAATCTAGACTAAAGGAGTATGTTTCAGATGAAGAAATAAGATAAAACCCCAGAACAGCTAAGTGATGTGAAGATAAGCAATCTGCCAAGAAAGAGTTCGGAGTAATGATTAATCATAAAATGACCCAACAACTTGGGAGAAGAATGGGTGTACAAAGTGAGGTTATAAGAATTAGAAAATATAAAAGAATAACCAAACATACTTGAAAAGTTGCAGAGTAAAAAATAAAACAAAAAACAATTTTAAAAAGTATAAAACAAACCCAAATCAGTAGTTACCAGGGACAGGGAATGGAAGAAATGGATGGATGACTTGATTCTGGTGGGAGTTACAGGATTATATGCATTTTTCAAAACTTGTAAGACTATTTACGTAAAAAGGGTGCATTTTCCTAGAGGCAAATTATACTTCATTAAACTTGAAGAAAAAATGTTAAACAAACAGGATTCACTTAGAAAGATGAGCATGCTTAAAGAAGTTAAAAAAAAGTGAGTAATTTAATTCAGAACAATTTTAAATTATAGCCTGTGGGTTAAGAGAGGAGCAGAGTTTAAAAAGAAAGGGATGAGAAATTACATATTTACTTGACTTTTCAATTGATGGCTTGTTGAGACTGTGTATTCTTTTCTTTTTTTTTTTTCCAAATATATTTTTTTAATTGGGGTATAGTTGCTTTGGGGCTTCCTTGGTGGCTCAGAAGTAAGAATCTGCCTGCCCATGCAGGAGATGTGGTTTGATCCCTGAGTTGGGAAGATCCCCTAGAGAAGGAAATGGCCACCCACTACAGTATTCTGGCCTGGAGAATCCCCTGGACAGAGGAGCCTAAAGGGCTGCAGTCCACAGGGACTCAAAAGAGTTGGACACGACTTAGTGACTAAACAACAACAACAATACAGTTGCTTTATAAAGTGTTAGCTTCTGCTATACAATAAGGTGAATCAGCTATAGGTACACATATGTCCCCCCCTCCTGGACCTGCCTCCTGCCTCCCATCCTACCGTCTAGATAACCACGGAGCACCCATCTGAGCTCCTTATGCTATAAGCAGGCTCACACCAGATAGCGATTTTGCACGTAGTAGTGTATGTATGAGACTGTGTATTGCTTATATGCAGGAACTTCACACAGTTTTGTGTCTTGAACGTGGATCCTAAAGGCAGAGATAGAAGGAGATTGTGCCCAGTGTGCTGAGCACCATTGGTTAGGTGCTCCAGAAGCAAATACCACCACTGCTCTTAGTGAGTAAGGTGTTTATTAGAGAAGGGGAGAGGGGATAAGCAAAATAAAGTAGGAAGAAATCCAACTGTGATGGACCCAATGAAACCTTGGCCAATTTAGCGTGGAGCTTCAGAAAGAACTCTGATGATCCCCAGGGACACTTTTGATTCTTCCTTAACCAATTGTGACAGTAAATAGGTAGGTCCGTCAACCCCTGGTTGCCAAACACATCCAGTGGTGGGCCCAGCTGGCCAGGTCTTTCCACCCCTTGCCTTCTCAGTGTCTAGGGGCAGGGGAGGCCGTTTGGTGCAGCTGATGCAGACTTTGAAGGGGCTGACACTGGAAGGCCGTCTGCTGATGGCATCCCATAGCAAGTCCGTCTTTGAAGGGCGTGTGGGTGGCAAACCTTCACAGTTTACCCTTTGTGCCATGGCACCCACTCCTGCATGTTCCAGTAGCAGCTCCCAGTAGAGCAGGATTCTGGTGGGGCTCTCCCCCGAGGCATCTCTTAGAAGTGGGAGGTCAGGGAGGCAGATGACAGCCCCTTTCATGGCAGTTATGCTCGGAGCCACAGCTGATACTCAGCCACAGGCTTCTCCTCACCTCAAAGGCCAAGGAGCCCATGTGGGAGATGCTCCAACTGTCCACTGTTAAAATCCTGGATCAGAAATGATGACTGAACGGGTCCATGACCTCAGTGAACTCACTGTAAGTTGGATCTTGGCAAAACTCCATTTATTATCTGGAGACCATGTGTCCAAACTTGAGGAAGGGGCATGATGATACTCTGTGTCTCTAAGTCAATGTCCACTCATTCACTCTGTCCTTCAGCCGGCATAGTATCTAGGTTTCCCCCTTCCCCATGAAATAGCTGGAGATTCCTTTGGGGAGAGACCTGGGGAATCAATCAGATATAATTGTCATATTGTTTCAGGGTTATTTCTCCCAGGACCCAGCCACCTCTGAGTCAGACGGTTGCAGTTGTAAAAACTGGCTCAGTCTGGAAATAGGGTAAAGACTTGCGATATTTTTAATGGGGTGTCTTCCCCTACCTCCCCACCAAGTGATCCAGCTTTGATTTTTTCTGCTGGTTCAGATGAGTAGTGCCTTTGTCAGCGGTCCATCTGTTACGCCTTTTTGTATTTCCTGTTCTATGAGTCATCTTAATAGCTTTCTGTGGATAAGCCCCCCACTAGGATGCCAGACCCGGCTTATTAGTCATTCCAGTAGTCTCTGTATCCTGATTTTTGGTAGTTAAGCACTGCTATCTTGAATTACATTGTTTTGAGGTCTTAGCGGCCCCACTGTTATCAGTGAGCCAAGCTGTATAACAGCCTTGCCCGAACTACAGAAGAGAACTCTCAGAGCAGAGCCACCACTGAGCTGTCTGGTGATGCTGGCGTCCCTTGCGCCAGGCCATTCCTTGCGGCCTTTTTAAATACTGTGCTGTATGGGCCTCCCTAGAGAATCTAATAACTGGTGAGTCTTTTTATTGTGCATAATACCTACATTCCTGCATAGTCACTTCCCTGAGCTTTTAGTGATTTCCTTCACCATCTGCCACAGAAATTCTTGCATTTCATGGCTGCTCATCGTGATGGTTAATTCTATGTGTCAACCTGGCTGGGCTATGATAGCCAATTGCTTGATCAAACACCTGTCTAGATGTTGCTATGAAACTGTTTTCTAAAGGCCAAACATTTAAATCAATAGATTTCTTAAAATCATATCTATCTATGTCTATAAAACACATACTGCTTCTCTGGAGAACCTAACGCATTCATTTGTGGGTGATTGCTTTTTCCATGTTTTTCTAGGAGCTCTTCTGATAGAGAACTCCCACCATCTCCTGCGCTTAGTTGCCAGTGTGTTAAATCCTATATCAGAAGTAAAGCACCACCAAGTTAATCAACTCTTTTCTATATAATTTTTAGCTTTGACCCCCTTGATTAAGAATCCTTAGGATCCAATCACACAGTACTCTCCCAGTTCCATGGCCAAGCCTTGTAGCTGCTTTGGGGTGTAGTCCTATAATCCTTAAGATACTATTTATTTCATACATCTAAATAGGCTGAGAATGAAATGGCAACCCACTCCAGTACTCTTGACTGGAAAATCCCATGGACGGAGGAGCCTGGTAGGCTACAGTCCATGGGGTTGCAAAGAGTCAGACACGACTGAGCGACTTCACTTTCACTTTTCACTTTCATGCATTGGAGAAGGAAATGCAACCCACTCCAGTGTTCTTGCCTGGAGAATCCCAGGGATGGTGGAGCCTGGTGGGCTGCCGTCTATGGGGTCACACAGAGTCAGACACGACTGAAGCGACTTAGCAGCAGCAGCAAATAGGCTGATACTTTGCCTTCATTAATACATACCTTCTGTTGGTATTCCTCTCAACACCACTGAAAAGTTTTAATAAATAGACCACCACACTGTTCCAGAAGCTGTCAGTGTTGGGGGCCCTCACTGCCAGCCAGGTGATGAATAATGCAGCTCTAAAAGTCTATAGTTATACCTGTTTTGTTAGACGCTCCTCGGTACCCACTTTCAAAGGCTGGATTACCTACAAGCAGATTCTGAGAGGTTCAGGGTGTAACATATTCACTAGGTACCAACACGTAAGAAGGGACAGGGCAATCAGTATGACCGGGCAGAAGAGGAATCAAAGTCACTAGGTTTTAATATAGCTGCTACACCCCATCACCAGACGCAGGCTACCCCAAACAGGAGGAGACGTTGGACCATGTGGTTTCCTGCAGCTAAGGCAGAACTTGAAGCTGCCGACATTTGGATGCTTCCTGCTAACCACACTCTCCGCATCTGAGCTGCATCTAAGCTGGGATCTAAGAAACACAACTGTGTCTACCACATGGAATTTAGTTTTCAAAGGCAGGAGGCAGAACAACAACAACAACAACAACAAACCCCAAGAAACAAACAACAGACCACCTAGTTCTTTCTTTCTATATCAGACTTGATTCTCCTAAGGAAAACTGTAAATCCATCAATTATTCTGCTTTGTAATTTTCTACTAGGTTCTTCCACTTGGAGAAAGTGATAAAGAAAGAGAGCTAAGGAGGAAAGTGTAGGAACTTGCATTTTCCAAAAATGGCTGCAACATCTTCCACCCTACATGCTTTCTAAAAATGTATCTTTGTTATTCCGCCCCTGAAGGTGGAATCTAATTCCTCTTCTTGGGAAGGCAAAGTGCCTTCCCAAAGATATATACACTCTACCCTAGAGCCTGTGAATATATGTTGTTCACAGGACAGAAGGGTTTACAGAAGTAAATAAGATGATGGGCCCTAAAATATGGAGATTATCCAGGTTGGCTCAACCTAATCACACACATCCTTAAAAGCAGAACTTTTTCCAGCTGGTGCAGGAGAAGAAATGCAGTAAAGAGGAAGTCAGAGAGATTAAAAAACCTGAGAAAGACTCCAGACACGGTTGCCTTTTGAAGATGAAGGAGCAATGTGATGAGGAATAGAGGTGACCTTCAGAAGCTGACAGCTGCCATAGAAATGGGGACCTCAGTCCTGCAACTGCAAGGATCTGAATTTTGCAATCAGACTGAGTGAGCTTGGAAACAAAGTTTTCCCCCAGACTGTGAGACCCTGAGCAGAGGAACCAGTCAAAGTGACTCAGTCTTCTGAACTTATACAATTGTGAGTTCATAAAGTTGTGTTGTTTTAGGCCACTAAATTTGTGATGATTTGTTACAGCAGCAATAGAAAGCTAATACTGACTTATGACTCGCTAGTTACCAGCAGGACAGAAGGGACGGGACACTAAGGAACTTTTGAGTTCAGGTGAAACCCTACCTGGGCCCTGGAAGGCTAGTTCTCACTAGACTGCCTTTAAGAGCACAGCCATCATACTGTAAGAATTCCAAACCATAAGGAGAAACCATGTCTTAGTGTTTCAATAAGGAGACCTTGGAGAACAGTCTTTGAGTCATTCCAACCCAGAAACTCACACGTGTGATTGAAGATGCACATTAATAGATTAGGAGCTTGTATTCTAGGCTTTCCAGTTGAAGCTACAAACATGGAGTACAGGCAAGCCATCCCTGTTCTGAAAACAGAATACATGAGCATAATAAAACTGTTGCTGGTTTATAACACAATTTAAAAATTTTGCACAAAAATAGCAACTGGAGCAGAAAGGAAGGGGGGAAATGCTCTCAAATACAAAGAGGGGTAGTTTTTTTTAATCCCATACCTGGAGTGAAAAAAATGTACAAATCCCTCTAAAGTAGTTATGAGATAGAATTTTATTCTCAAGTTATAATCTGGTTGAATGACAGAGGAAGAGAGTACCTTTTCATGCTCTACTCTACAAGGGGATCTGTATTGATAGCTCCCACCTGATAAATGGTACTTCTTGCAGTCAATCTTAACTAAACAGAAATTTATTTAAAGTAAGATGTCAGTGAAGTGATTTTCTACATAAAACTATTTCTTGGTTTTGCAACTGTCCAATTTGTTCTTTAAAAATTAAGGAGACAAACTTAAATATCAAATATTTAATTTTTATTGAATGATTCTTTAAATTCTATAGTGCTTTATAATGTTCAAATGTTTAACACACATGATTTCGTACAATCTCATAATAACATTTCTTCCTCTCTATCCATATATTGACCCTTCCTTCTTCCCTCTCCCCACTGGCAACCACTAGTTTGTTCTCTGTATCTGTGATCTACTTATTTTTTATTTATTTTTATTTTTTAATTTTTTCGTGACTTCAGTGTGACTTTACTGAGCATGAAACAAACGCAATTTTATTTTTCATTTTATTCACTAGTTTTTGTATTTTTTAGATTCTACATGTAAGTGATATCATACAGTATTATTCTTTGACTTATTTCACTTAGCATAATGAAAATATCAACTCTTAAGTAATATTACATTTTCCTTTCCTATTCAAAATTATGTCAAACAGTTTGCTTTACTTAATTATGAAACTCTATTTCTGAAATAATATTTCCTAAATATGTACATATTTTACATATAATACCACCTTTCATTTCTGTTAAGCTTTAAAATTGAGAAATCATTTTCATTTATTACATCTCCTGTTTGACTCTTCTTAATAATAATCAAATCAAGTTTTTATTACTTATGAAGAAAGTAAAATTTAAAATCTTTGGCAAATGTAGTGTCTTTGCCAAAGTAGTGCATTAGTAAAGTGCCTGACTTGACCTATATCCAGTTATTCAGATGCCTGGTATCCGAACTGTACTCCTTTTTTAACACATTTTTAATTTGGTGACTCAGATGGTAAAGAATCCGCTTGCAATGCAGGAGACCTGGGTTCCATCCCTGGGTTGGGAAAATCCCTAGAGAAGGCAATGGTTACCCACTCCAGTATTCCTGCCTGGAGAATTCCAGACTGAGGAGCCGGGTGGGCTACATACAGTCCATGGGGTTTCAAAGAGACAGACACAATTGAGCAACTAACACTAATTGCTTTTTTAACACATTTTAAATTTTATGTATTAAAAATCAAACTTTATATAACACGTGTCCACAAAAATATCTGT